ATTTAAGGGATAATGTGTTTATACTGAAAGTATGTTTTATGCAGTTGGAGTAGAAATTAGTAACCAGGAGGTAATGTGTCTTTATGATGACCCATTCAAGTGAAATGGAGCTGTTACCCCTCCCAGGTCAGTCGGTAATGAATTTTTGGTTCTATTGTTTACCCTTGTCACAGTCCATGGAAAACTATCAGAGACTGAGACAACAACAGTTGAAACCACTTAAAGGTAGAAAAGAAATGCTACCACAAGGCAGGCGTTCACCTTTTTGAATAGAAACAAAAGACTGTTTTCAGTATAACAGAGACTGGGGGAGGCACTCTGGATCCATTCACTGAGGAAAATCCCAGGCACAAAGGGATTCTTGTGTGTTTGGATCCTGGTTCTTGAGAAACCAGTGAGCTTGGAACTTTGGCGTGGGGGAGGTGGAAATCTACTAAGATAGGATAGGTAATTGTTAAGTGTAGAGCCAGCTTTGCATTTTTATGATTTTGTTTTGTATTGCAACCATTTGTTTCCACCACTATCTTTTTTTCCAGTTAAATTTCTGTGTGGCTTACAGGAGCAGTGGTTTAAGGTAAAATTGGTAAACAGGATATAATGTACCTTTGGGTGCAGAAGATCTGGAATCTCTGAGAGTAGCCAGTGTCGGGGGCTGGATGTCACATGGGAACAATTCAAAGGGATTTGGAGGTTAGGGTGCACCTTACTGTTAGCCTGCAAGGTGAAGGAAAGGCTGGCATAAGCCCAGAGGAGAGCTCTTGAGTGACTGAAGGGCTGACAGGTCAGAGAGCTGACACCCAGCTACGATAAGAGAGACTTCCTCTCACTAGAGGCAGGGAGTAACAAGGTGACTCTCAGTTCTGGATATCCCAAGAACCATCACACACATGTTGAATAATGCTCTTCAGAGTTCTATAAAACTGGCTTGTAGTGATGTCCAGTGGGGGTGGTGGTAAAATCTAATTTGTCATTAAATTAAATTGATTAATTTGGCACCATAAACACCGTTTATGCATTAATCATATGGTTATTGCATTGCTTCACTACATAGTGGTAATAAGGTTTAGGTGCTCTAACTGCATTTCCCTAAGGTAATCCAAACACATTAAAGTAAATTTAAGCTTAATTCTGAATTTCCTTCATTGCGGGATAACTACAACATCCATGTAATTTTTTTAACCTTACTTATACATACTCCCAACTTTAACTCTATCTAAACAGTTAATTATTAAAACACATGACCTCTAATGACCAATAAATATAGTCAGAGCTGCATATTGGTTATGCAGGATGTGGATGGAGATGCACAGGCTATGGATGATGAATGGGAGGTAGCTGAAATTGAGAAAAAGATCTGCTTAGTGGGGAATAGGTGGACTGTTGAATGACTTAACTTGAAGTTGACCAGATTTTTTTATATATTAGTTTTCCAGTTTATGTAAATAAAAATATATCTCTTTATTGCCATCCTCTCCCCAACCCCCCAATCCAAGTCCGTACAACCCGGCTTCTTGTCCTGGTCTGTGGGGAGATGCATTCTTTCCCCTATGTTCCGTACTTCCCTGCCATATTCAGCTTTTAAACTCTTATATATATAAATCGATACTTAACAGTCGAATGGTGTAGAGGAGCATGGTGAAGAGTAAAGATTTGGGTGGAGGGAAACACATTGAGGAGCAGGGCTGTAGGGTCATGGGTTCAACATGGAAGCAAGTTGGGGATAGGGAGAACCTGAGCGGGCATGGAAGTGGGTGCATGGGCGGGCGATAGTAGTTGCTCAGTAAGATGTGGAGTGCTGAGTGGAAGTTGGGAGAGAGAGAGCTGGAAGAGGTCTGGTTAGAGAGGATCTGTGCTCTGAACCACTTGTGGCCAGTCAGTGTTTCTCTCTGCTTCCACCACTTCTCTCCTGCAATATCACTTCAGTTAAAGCCTGTTCTCCCTATAATTCTGCTTCTCTTGCATTTCACCCCCATATGCTCTTTCTGTCTAGTTTCATATTATGGAATCTTCTCTAGAGATGTAGATGTCATTTCTTTTATTATAAAAATACTATTTTTAGGCACTTCCTAAATCAAGGTTACCAGATTAGGAAATGCCAATGTTAATTCTATCTGCTTGTATATATGCATTATGTTATGGTTTATTATATGCTTGCTTTTCTGCTAGACTCTTGTTTAATCCAGCGCACGGTAAATGAGGCAGGTGTGAAGCATTTATTTCAAAGTAACTTCTTAGAACAGAAAAAAGCTGTACCCTGTATAACTGCTTAAGTCATCCAGCAATTTTCCTCTGTGGAAAATTAATGTTTTTAAATGACTTATAAATATTTACCCTCGTTCAGTCTTTGGAGTCCTGTCTCATTTACTGCAGATTGTCCAGCCTCTGCATTAAATTAGGTAGGATCCCATGAGAAAGGAATATAATGAGCATATGACTAAGAACTTCGTTGTAAAATATATACATAAGATATAAGGTTGCGCTCTCAACCTTAATCGTGGCATTTTTGACTTCGTGACACTTGTAACTCTGTAATCATATTCTGTTAATGTAATTATTTTGATGGAATTACTCAGTAGGTGAATTTAAATGAAGGATAGTAATGTAAAGTTTCCAATAACGTGGTTATTTCCTTTTGTGAGTGTTGCTAACATTTTGTATCTGTATTGCTGTGTAATTTTGTGGATATGAGGCTAGGTCAGACTAAACTTTAATCTAGACAAATGTAACTCAGTACTATCTTTTCTGTCCTGTTCCAAGTTATCTTTTGTTAAAGAAATACCATTTTTACTTCCTAACTTCAATTTAGAGCAAGAATATTTTGTTAATCAGATTATGCATTTAAGAAGACATAACTTTTTATATCTGTTCTTGGAAAATGCCAATTTAATTTTTACTATTTTTTCATTAGATATGATTTTATGAAAACGCAGCCTGCTGAGAAGATGCATCTAGCAGTGGTTGCCTGTGGTGAAAGGCTGGAGGAGACTGTTACTATGTTGAAATCAGCCATTATTTTCAGCATCCAACCTCTACAGTTTCATATTTTTGCAGAGGGCCAACTGCACAACAGCTTCAAAGGCAGAGTAAGTATCTAAGTCACACACTGAAGCAGTTTGTAGCTTAGTGGAGGTATGTGTGGCTTTCTCTTAGACATCTACTGCTGGGTATTGTTCTGTTAGATGTAGTTGCAATGATTCAGGTTTGTGTGTGTGTGTAACATTAGGAAGTCCTTATATTCTCTGTTGGTCAGACCATTGCACGATACTTCAGGCCCACTTCACTGTCTTCATCAGTGAGCACACTTGGTCACTTTTTCTTTTTTTTTTTTTCTTCCAGCTGCAGTGTGTCTCTCCTGCCCACTTCACCCCAGGGGTGAAGTGGGAAAGGCAGCACGGGTAGTGTTCCAGAGCCCAGTCTTGAATGTGGGACTTGGTGATCCTTCCTTGCCTAGTACTAATCCAGATATGCATTTAGCACTGGGGAAAGAAACTGTAAAAACTGTCATGCAGCATACTGCATTATTGTGATCTGACAGACTTCCTTTTTAGTGTTTCTCAACAAGCTTTGCACAGAAACAGTAGTGCTGTTCAAACTTTTATTACTGGTTCTGTTCCCTGTTTCCATTGTAGGGCTACTGAAGGATGGCTATCAGAGCTTATGTAAAAGTTAGTAGAATGAGTAAAAAGTGCCCTCAGAGTGGGAGGGGATCCACAACAGGTACCGTGGCAGATTATTTCTTTGCAACAGTGCTGTCTCCTCAACCTCAGGCCAAGGGTTACCCTCTGTTTCACTGGCGTTGCTTATGGCTCCTCTCTAAGCCTAATCATCATTGTGGCTCCAAGCTCAAGTTTCATTCATCTGACCTATTAGTCTCTGATTCAATCTCTGGTTCCCTCCTTCAGTGATACATTTTCAACTGTCTTGGACTTGAAGTCCAGTTCCCCTCTGGGACCCACACTTTTCCTTCTGCCAAGCGTTTGTTCTTCTAAACTTATTCTGTTTTCATAGTGACACACAATCCCATTTAAGATGTCTGTGGTACATAATTACTGGTCTTTCTAAGACACTTTTCCCTATTCCCCAATTTCTTCCAAGTTTATTTCCCTTAACCCCTCCGCATCTTCATCTGCCAGGTCTTTTTTTTTGGCAGTATAGGCATCTCCTTAGTGCCCTGTCAACCTCTGAATCCTGGTCACAGAACATCATGGGAGAAGAGCGTGGAAGGCTCCAAAGAGGAGGTGGTTTAGATCTCCTAACAGAGCCTCCTTCAAAGAGAAATTGGTCACTTCAGAGACAGACTGTTCTGGAGAGCTCAGTTCCCTGGGGGAGTACCTTTTGAGGCTCCAAGCTTCTTTAGTACCAAGAGTTCTTCAAGACTTTCATTCTTCAAAAAAAATAGTGCCAGACATACCTTGGTACCAGGGCCCAGCCCACAACATTTTGGTACCTGAGGCAGGGAGCTCAAATGACACCCCCATGCCCCCTCGCTTGGATCAAAACTTTGAAAGTTCTCAATTCTACCTTCTTCCTGTTCTACTCCTCTCATGGTACCGTTCTGCTACCTACCCCAGTAAAGGAGAACTAACAACTTAAAATGCCTTGTTCAAAAATTTTAAGTAACACTTAACTTTCAAACGCCCGAACAGCAAATGTAACTTTTCTTGTCTGCATAGCAAACACTGGCATTTTTATCTGTTTGAATAATCAAAGTGGTGCTTTCTGTGCCTTCTTGGTTGCAAAGATTTGAACTGTTTCCTGAAGGTCCACAATCTGGGCCAGCTCATGCTCTATTGAGATGGTTGCAAGGCCGACCAGCCTCTCCTGTGTCATTGTGGAGCGTAGATGTGGTTTTTTTTATTAACTTCAGATTGGAGAAGCTGCGTTCTCTACTGGCAACTGTTACAGGAAGTTAGAAGTATGTGCAGAGCAACAAAAGCATTTGAAAAGAGGGTGGTCATCTTATTTGTGCACATATATTCAGAACAGCCTGTGGAATTGATCCTGCTGAAACGTATCTTGAAAGGGCTTTCAGTTCATCACCTAAATCGCTCGCATCAATATCGCGCATGTCATCTTGTGACAACACTGTCTCTAGTGCCCTGAATTGCTGGTGTAGGTCTTCTTCAGGTATAGTGAGGAGTTTTGGAATATCATATAACATCCCAACTATACTGCTGTGTTCCTTGAGCTGCATGAAACGTTCTTCAACTGACTGTATTGCACAATCTAGCAGCTGGTTAAAGAATTCAACCTTGAATTGTTGTTTGGGA